GGGGACGAGGCCCTGATGGCACTTTTTTTTAATGCTTATTTATTTATCTTGAGAGAGAGAAAGAGCACGTGCACGTGCGTATGGAAGGGGCAGAGAGAAAGGGAGAAAGAGAGTCCCAACCAGGCTCCAGGCTCAACATGGAACCCAACACGGGGCTGTATCTCACTACCCTGAGATCATGACCTGATCCGAAATCGAGATTCAGACGCTTAACCAACTGAGCCACTCAGGTGCCCCATCTTACATTTTTGTACATGGTGTGAGGTAGGGTTTGAGGTTCCTATCTCCTACTACATCTCCCCAGTTCTTCTAGTCTTATTTACTGAATAGATATTCTTTCACCTGTTGCATTCCTAGGGCAACTTGGTTGAACACATGTGTGTGGGTCTATTCTAGACTCTCTTATGTCCCATTGATCTGTTCCTCTGTCTTGATGCTGATGCCACACTGTCTTGATTACTGCAGCTTTTTAAGCAAGTTTTGAAATTAGGCAGGATTAAGTCCTCCGGCTTTGTTCTATCTCAGAACTTCTTTATCCATCCTGACTTCTTTGTGTATGCACATAAATTTTAGAGTCAGTGTAGTAATTTCTATAAAACAGAAAGCTTGCTGGAATTTGAATTTCAGTTTTGTTGACTCTTTTAGTCATTTGGTTGAAGAACAGGACATATTTTTCTCTCTTAATTAGAGCTGCTTGACTTCTCTCAGCGCTGCTCTGTGGTTTTTAGTCTTTAGGTGTTACACATTTTTCTTTAAATGTTTTCCTACTTTTTGGTTTGGTTTGGTTTAGTGCTATTGTAAATGGTATTAAATTTTCATTTTCTGATTTTGCTACTGTTTACTTACTAGTTCTCGTAGATTTTTAAAAATTAATTTATTATTATTTTTTTGTAATCTCTACACCCAAAGTAGAGCTTGAATTCAGGACCCTGAGATGAAGAGTCATAAGCTCTTCCAACTGAGCCAGCCAGGCGCCCCCTAGATATATCTATATCTATATCTATATCTATATCTATATCTATATCTATATCTATCTATATTATATCTATATTATATCTATATTATATCTATATCTATATATCTATCTCTATATCATGTATATCTGTACATCTATATCTATATCTATCTATGTAAATATAAATATAAATTGTTTTTTGGTTGAGGGGGTAGATTCCTTTTGGATTTTGTTCATATGTTATCCTGCTGTCTATAAACAGACAGTTTTACTTCTTCCTTTCTGATCTTTATATTTCTTATTTCTTTTATTGTTATAACTTATTATTATAAAAATGACATTTTAATGACTTAGTTGCTTTTACCCCAATCTTCAACTAAAATGATCCTCTAGTCTAGTAAGATGCTTTCCTGTGGCTTTAAGGGCCTCACTGACCCTGTGGCGAGGCCCCTTGGAGTACTAACCATGGCCTGGGCCTATGGGGTGGGGATGAAGCTCACAGGTGGGCCTGGATATACCCCGGACTCCTAGTGAAGTACCCACCCTAAGGGCCTGTGTGTCCTACTGGGAGAGGACAGCCAGTGGCCCTGCACCTGATCCAGGGTGTGGGATTGGGGCATGGTGCTGTTTCTAGGACAGAGCTGGCACCGTGCTCCCAGCCCAATGCTGGTCCAGGCACCAGCATGCATTCTGCATGTGCCAGGTTTTACTGCAAGCTTTCAGGGACTCCTGTGGGCATCAGATGTCATCCTAGGGGGCAGGGTCTCTCTCATGTGCCCTGTGGGCTTTGGGGCTGTCTTGCAATGAGGAGTTCAAGCCCCTGTCCCATAGCTAGGACTGCTGGACTGATTATGTGTCTCCCTAGGACATAAGGACAGGGCCGTGGTAAGTGCTACTGGTGGTGACACCGTCATCTGTCACAGGACTTGACATGGAGGAAGGCAAGGAAGGAGGCACGTGGCTGGGCATTAGCACACGGGGGAAGCTGGCCGCGCTCACCAACTACCTGCAACCACGGCAGGACCGGGATGCCCGGGGCCGAGGTACCATGGGGCAGTGGTGGAGCGGGCAGGGCAGGGGGTGGGCTTTCCTTGGGCACATGTAGACGCAGGAGGTAGAAGAAGGGGAAGAGGGGTGTTTCTGGTCCTAAGGCCCACTGGCTGCCATTACTGTGGGAACCACCTGCTTCCCGGCCCATGCAGCACCCACCTGCACAGATAGGGTTTGCCCCTCTCAGGGAACACTCTCCACACTTGTGCCCCAACCAAAGTGTCACTTCTGACTGTCGTCATTGTTCCCCACCTGTCAAATGTTTGCAGAGCAATACCCCCTTGGAAGACACACATTGTTCCCACGGAAGATTTTTTTCCCTCATGCTGTACTTCGTTAGGGGGTATAATTGAAGAAAAAAAAATTAAAACCCAACAAAAACAGAGTTCTTGATGCAGACCTCCTTAGCTGCTAGGTCAACGAGATATGGCTGGCATGGTGGTGTTTAGCTCGTACCAGCCCCATGTCAGTCTCCCCATGAAGAGGGACTCAGCCCTGCTGCCTTGGCCACGTGTGTCTGTCCCCTACCCACAGGTGAACTTGTGACCCACTTTCTGACTACAGACATGGACAGCTTGTCCTACTTGAAGAAGGTCTCTGCGGAGGGCCACCTGTACAACGGCTTTAACCTCATAGCAGCTGACCTGAGGTGGGTCTGCTGGGAAGGGGATGGCAACCCACTGGGTGCTGCCACAGAGCTGGGTCATGGGCTTGACAGGAAGTGGGGTTCCCACCCTGCCACTAAGCTTGGGGTACTGTGGTGGCCTCCCCAGGGACATTGCTCCTGTTGGACATGGTGAGGGTCCCGAGGACCAACCGACTATCATGGGGACTCAACGAACAGAGCTCGGGCTTTCTGTGGTGCCGTGAGGGCCACCAGCTCCTGCACGACAGCTGTAGCATGACTCCAGTGGGCATCTCCAGGCATGAGGTCTCCCCATGTCTGTGGCGAAGGAGTCCCCTGTTTTGGCGCTGCCCCTCACATGCCCTGCTCTCTGGTGGCAGAAGCGTCCCAGGCTAGAGAAGGAAGGTCCAAGCACCGCTGACTGGTGTGGACCCCGGCAGCACGGTGTGGTCGGGTGCTGCTGAGCGCTGGAGCCTCACGGCGGCTTCTCCAGGGAGGCGTGTCTGAGCCTGCAGCACAGCTCATTTCAGGTTCTGCAAGGCACTCAATGGATAGCTCCCTCGGCCTGTCTGGAGTTGTCAAGGGGCAACAAAGCTGTCCCAGCTGCCCACGGGCCCTGTCACCAGAGGACATGGACACTCGCCTGTACAGGCGTTTGGGGCAAGTCTTTCCCTACTTGGAGTCAGACAAGTAGGCAAGGAGCAGAGGCAGGTGGAAGGGTCCCCAAGGAAGCACGAGCCTGGAGCCTCAGGGGTGCCTGTGCTGGCTGAGAGTTAGGAGTCTGGCTGCTGGAACCCAGCAGAAGGCCTGGGCCATGTGGGGAAGTGGCATTTGGGGATGTTGCCAGGTCCACGTGAGGCACACAGAGGTGCAGCAACCAGCAGTTACCTGTGTAGCTGTTTGGGGGATGTGCTGAGCCCTTCATGTGCAACACTTGGCACGTCCTCACAGCCACCACCCTGTGTACACCTGATATGGCTGAGCTCCGACAGGCAGCTGACATGGCTAAGACCCCTGCTGGAGTGACGTAGGGCTGGGGTCTTGTGGTGCTTCTCTGGGCACCTGGCTGGGAGGTCCAGGTGCCTCTGGAGACAGTAGTCACATCCCATCAGGTGGGCACCAGGTTGGGAAGAAGCACTGCACGCACGGCCGTGGTGCCACTGGACACCAGCTGGTAGCATCTGTGTTTCTGAGCTGCCAGTGGCTGCAGCCTGGCTTCTCAGAGTGTGTTTATCTCTGTGACTCCCATGCCTGGACCCTGGCCACAACCCTGTATTAGCTCAGACACCAGCTACCCTGCTCTGGACCTCCACAGGGCTGCCTGTAGCCCAGGGCCTATTGGTCAGCAGCATTTGCTGAGTGTCAGTTGAGAAGTGGGCACTGCCTGTGGTCCACTTCCCACTGTGGACACTGAGCTTTGTGGTGAAGTAATTGTTGGTGTTTGGTACAGGTTAGCAGGAGTCATGCGGGACCCATGTCCCTGGCGGGGGGATCCCAGAGCCCATGCCCAGGGCTGGCGGTCAGATGGCGGGCAGAAGCGGGGGGATGGCTGGGGTTGCATGTTAGGTGCCAGTCTCCCGCCTGGCCCTGTCTACAAGCGTGCAGACAAATGTGCAGACAGAAGAGTAGACGCTATTGACAGTCTTGGTGTATAAGGCAGATCACGTCAAGGTGGGGGAGTGGTAATGTCACAGCCACGAAGGATGGCCAATGTGGAGAGGCCCTGGCTGGGTGTTCCCACCTCTGATGCCCCAGGGCCCACGTGCATTTCTCTGAGTAGGCCTCGCAGAGCTGCTGGAGGATTCAGGCATTTGTGGGAACAGCCCGACAAGGTGGGTAGGGTGTCCTGTGCTCCCTTCCACAGGACTTGTACTTCAGAGATGTGGCCCAGGAACTTGTAGGCGTTCTGTGTATTTTGCCCTTCGGTGAAGTGGGCATCCATCTCTCACATTCTCCCTCCCTGCTGCCCTCTCCTTGTGTGCCCCTGCTGCCAATGCCCCAGAGGTCAGTGGAGGTCATCAGTTTCCATCAGGGTAGGTGGTCAGTGCCCCATGGTTTGCCAATGACCAGATGCCTGTCCTGAGCCTGTTTCCTTCTACAAGGAGCCCTAGGCCCACTGTGCCTTAATTGTCCACTGCATGTGGACACACACCTGCCGCGTGGATAGTCGCATTGATGTAGAGGCTGAAGTGTCCATGGGAGGAGGTGGGTGCTGGCACGGACACTTGTTCCCTTGCCCTCCATGCTCCCCCTGTACAGGGACCACTTTTCCTATCTGTCGTTCTGTGTACATCTGATCCAGTCTGGGAGACCAGTAGCCCAGCAGGACTTGGTGCTCAGCAGCCATGTCAAGTGGCTGGGTGATGAGGGCCCTGTGCTCTGAGTGGATGCATGCATGGGCAGGTGGCTCCTATAGGTAGGACTTGGGCCCATCAGTGCCTGAACAGCTCTCCTGGCTCCTGGGGCCACAGGGTTGGACCATATCTCCCTAGACACAGCCCTCAAGGACAGGTGGCAGCCAGGGGAACCCAGCGGGTTATTCCCAAGGGCCAGGTGTGCAGGGCAGAAGCCAGAGGGAGTCAGCGGTAACCAAGCAGCCCTGGTGATAGGTGCCGGGAAGAAGTCAGGGCCGAGAAGAAAAGAATCCCATCATCATCATAGCTGGTCCCTAACCAGGCATGGGGAGAGTTGGTGTCCAATCCATGGGTCTTCATGCTTTCTAGGTTTTTGCCTACAAACAAAATTCCTGAAGTCATTAGCCAGATATCTCATAAAATGAGCCAGCGGCTGTGGGGAGGAAAAAGATGATCAGAATGTGAAGCCATGTGGGGCCAGAGTGGGCATTGCCGGTGGAACTCCCCGGCAGCCCCACCTGGTCTTCGCGATTGTTCATCTTGAAGGCTCAGGTCCCATGTGTGGTGGTCTCCGTGCCTCCAGGAGGGCGGCTCACAGGCCAGGAAGAGTCCTTCTCCAGTTTGCAGAGAAGGCAATTCTAAGTCTTAGTAGGAAGATTTGCTATGGTATTTAGTAGGAGTGGGAACATTTTCAGCTCTGAGCACTTTGAACTATTTTTAAATGTACATGCAGTGCATGAAAGTAGGCAAATGTGATCTTTGATGCTTTGTTCTGAAGCCTCTGTTACCCTGGGGCATCCCTCTCTGTCTGGAGGTATCCAGAGATGAGCTGTGTGGGCGGTGACTGGTGTTTATGGGTACAGAGCAGTTATTGACACATGAGCCTGCAAGTACCCATGCCACGGGAGCATTCAATGAGGCAGGAGGGTCTTTTAGATGCTGTCCCTCCCAGGCTGCTCCCAAGCCATTGGTCCCTGCAGTGAGCCGGGAGTCAGGAGCCAGGAGACTCAAAGCGCCTACCTGAGAGGCCCCTGAGAGGCTGGAGCCCTGACTAGCTCCTGCCCTGGCTATGGCGAGCCATTGTCCCTGTGCTGGGAATGGGGCCGTGGGGATTGCCAGGCAGTAAGAGATCAGAACCCCCCATGGCTCCCTTCTGACCCTCTCTCTCCTCCTGTCTACAGCACAGAGAAGGGTGATGTCGTTTGCTACTATGGAAACCGGGGGGAGCCTGAGCCTGTCGTCCTGGCACCAGGTAAGCCTGCTCTGGTGGGTGGTGACAAAGTGGGGGCTGCTTCTATAGGGACACCTGTATACTTTTCAGAGCCTGGGTCCCTGTCACATTTCTCTCCTGGGACTATGCTCTTCTGCTGTTCGTGTATCTTATGGCCCCAGAGTCCACATGTCAGGCTGCCTACAGCCAAGGCCACCTGCCCACAGCTTAAGCCTTCCCTAGCACTGAGCTCTTGACTGCCAGAGAGAATCAAAAACTAAGAGGCAAAAAAGGACACAGGCCCCTCTTACCTTTCTTACACAGGCCCCTCTTACAATTCTATGCATTGGCCCAGAGGCCTTTGTGGAAGCATCTGGAAAGCACCCCTGTGATGCCCTTCCTCAGTTTATCAGTACTTGAGATTCTGTGACTGGAGATGCTTGTTTTCTGCTCAAGAAAGGAAGGATGGGATAGAGGGAGGGAGGGAAATCATTTCAAATACATCATGTTGTTTACTTGAGCTTTAACTTGCCTGATCCGTGTCACTTTTTTTGAATAGCAGCTTTGTTGGGGGGCCTGGGTAGCTCAGTCTATTGGGCATCTGACTTCAGCTCAGGTCATGATCTCATGTTCCATGAGTTCGAGCTCCGCGTCAGGCACTGTGCTGACAGCTCAGAGCCTGGAGCC